TTTTCATCTTTCATAACTTGTCCTTTGAACTATTTCAGATATATATGTCTTGTGTGTATCGTATGCAAACAATGTTTGTTCAAAACCATACTTCATCGCCACTGTAGCTACATCTGTCGAGACAAATAGTCCCAAGGAGGAGCTGAATCCTGGACTTAGTATCCTCGGTTCAATTGAGAAGATCTTCTTTGCCGTCTCTGATTTATATGAGCCTACAGATGATGGTAGAGCCTCCCGGGTATGTTACAACATTTTTTATTCGATAATAACTCGTTTTCACTGCCCATTCCATTTGCAACTACTTAATAATGTTTTGCTTGTTGCGGCGGTTGATTACAGTCTTTTATTTACCAATGACCATTAGCCAGAATTCTGCTCATAATATTTACACATGCTACACTACTAGCTTTCTCCATATCCTCTAGTTTGTTCTCATTTTTTGTCTCATAATTTCTTTCGTCAAGTTTCGGAACTTATGATTATTAAGTGCAGGCCATGTTCCTAGCCAACTTACTACCATATGTCAGTTACATATATTTATTATTTGCCTAATCCAATGCTCTTAAAATTTCGCCTTCATTTTCACTCGCTTTAGCTTTTCATCTCCTCAAGTTACGACGCTACTACTCACTTTGAGACAACATGCACTGATGTCCTTAATATATATGAACGAATCACAAGTACTCCCTTTGACTTTACAAAGGTTTCTTCGACTATAGAAACAACCGATTGATGAAATTAAGTAATCTAAACATTTTCTTCAAAACTAAAGGAATTTGACTTGCGATTTTACTTCATTTTTGGTTCATTTTTTGCCCTAACCATCTCAAGAGCAATTTATTTTTCTTCTAACTCCAGGTTTATTTGTTTAGCGCTCCTTGATTTATCTCGTTACTTTCATGTCAGAATTATTGCTTGTTTCAGAAACTCAATGATAAAAATCTATGAAATGCGCTAACCATTCCCTTAGTTGTGCATATTGCCAAGTGCACCCATTTTATCTCAGCTTCAGAAAATCTGTTCGATATACATGTTGTCTCGATTCGATCAATTTGATCATGTCTCTAATTCAAAAAGCACATTTCTTTAATATAAACATTTTATTGAAGTCAGATACTTATCGCTTTTGTCTCAGAATTTGAATTAATTAAACTACTGCTTGGTTTAGAAGCTGTTCCTCTTCCATTCCACCTTGTGAACTGATCTGCCCTTCCGCCCCGGTGAGTAATATGGCTTAGACCTCACCGCAATTTTCTATTACTTTTGCGTAAGCGTTCTATTCACCCTATTTTTGTTAAGGTTATGAAGGATTGGTAGCTGAATTTTGATTAAATAATGTGAGTAGGTCCGATGGTTCCTCAACTACAATTTCACTGTCTTCGTTAGCATCAACTGTACATCATTTCACGACTACCAACTGTCGGGGCGCATGTTCAAAGCTTCACAAGATACTGTCTCGTGATTCGAAGTAATTGAGGTTCCTGGAATGAGCTTACGGCAAATGGAGCATTCATTAAGTACTTTCTTGTCTCGTGACATTCATTAATTCGGGTTCAGTCGTCTTTAATTATGCCTCGGTTTGTGCATAATTCTCCTGCTAATCTTAGCTCGTCATGTGCTGGAAACTCATATGCGAATGTTCTTCGTTGACAGCCTCGTTTCCGTGCTTTG